CGCCTCCACCACACAACCCCTTTAGCGGACGCACACCATTGCTGGTGACCGTGGCTGTTACCTGGTTTTCTGTCCCCATAATAAGGCCGTTGGTAACCCGGAAGTGTTGAGTCTAGAAGCAGGCACTCGGCTCTACTTCTTGCCATCTTTCCAGGCTTCAAGCATAATAATAATAAATTGTATATTTAAGGCCGATTTATTGAACCGACATCCTGCTATGCCTCTCCTTATCGACTCAGCAATGCTTTATTTGGTGTCAGCGACCTTTGGCTTCCCTGTCTCATCTTGTTACCTTAACTCCAATCTGATACCCGCCCCCCCCGCATTGGCAAACCTCTGGCGACTTCAGCGAATGGTCAGGACACTCGACCATTTTACCAACTATCACAGGGAGGGGTTCAGATAACGTCACTGCTGTTTGGGGATAGATTAGAACGTTGATGATAAGAAGACCTTACAAAGGCACGAGTTCGCAACGGTTAGACCATACAAAGTAGATGCGCAATTCCTACAAGTGGTCGATCTGTTAAGTGCGTGGCAGATTTTTCAAATGCCGACCGACTAAGAGGAAATTACATGTGGTTTTTGCTAAGGCGGTGAACCCTTTTATCAGTTTGTTAGTGGATAACTCGATCCTTTCTAGTTTGGAGGACAACATTTCAATAACATTTTCCTAATGCAGTCTTTATGAAATTCTTGCGTATGCAATACTCGAACTGCATCCTTATCATTGTGTTTTTATTCAGAAGTGACTGGTTCCTGTATGCGCCACGCGTAGATAGCCAACAACACCTTAGCAACTTCCCCTCGTCTTGACTTTGCCTAGTCAATGGTTGAGGGTGGGTAGGGAAGAGAGAGCGCGGTAGATGAGGTGCAAGTCTGAGTCACTGTGGATTATGTCACGTGCAAGTTACTGATGTCTTCCTGTACTCCGTGATTTAAGCGGTAAAACTCATAGATTTCGGTTGCTGCACTTTGAACTCCGGCTGTTTATTCCCCGATGCTTGGCGCTGAGTAGTCGCCTCTCAACTTTGATATGTTTCTGAGAACTTAAACGAGCTCACCGAAACAGATGAAGTTCGGAAAGCTTGAGCGGCTCTTCATTTTCAGAGCATCTACTGTTGTGAGAGGCCATTCTTGTTGACCAGTCTACAGTCATGTGAACTTGCAGTGGGCTGCATGTAGTGGCCGAGTTCTTTGTAAGTCATTCAATCACATCAAGCTTTAACGTTCACTTTAGGAGCCCAGTTAAAAGCGCACTGCACATGTTGGGCGTAATGACGGAACATAAAGTCTGATCTCTGGTATACCCTATCCTCTTGGTATTTCAAAAACTATAAGTGCTGATAGCTGAGTTGCTTGACAATCTGTTTTTTCTTCCAGTGGATTGTACCAATGGGCAGAAGACGGATGAGGCGGGCAGTACGACAGCGGCGGATGCAGGTGACCTGGACCCCTGTTTCCCTCGACCCCTGGTTGCCAGCCGGGATCCAATCGGTGAAGAGGGCACCTTCATCGCCTTCTGTCCACATGCGATGCACGCTGCCTGCAAGGAGAAGTACGCCCGTCAGCTGAAGAACCGCAGCGATCAGATCGGCCGGCGGTGAGTTGTAGCAGCAGCTATTTTTATGGTTACT